GGTGAGGATGGTGAAAACGTTCCAAAGAGGAAGCAAGCTCCTGGTGTTGCTCAAGCTGCAGGTGGAGCTCCAGAAGCCAGAAAAAAAACCTCGACTGCTGCTCGCTCCAAGAAGGAGGTGAAGGACAAGAAAAGTTCGGCTGGTGGCGGCGAAATCTTTGCCAGCAGTGCTGATATGGAGGCTTTGAAGGAGTCGGACTTTGAGATGTTCAAGGTGGCAACCCGCTTTGGGAGCCTGCCGGAATGCCTCTTGAAACTCAATGTGCGCGACATCCTTGCTGGCAGCAAACGTGGTGTGTCCCTCTGGTTTGTCTCATGGCCAGACGCGTTCCATTTTGGGGTTGGCTTACTCTGGAATTCACTCTACTCTACTAGATCATAGTTACTATTCAGTTACTATTCACTGTTCCGAAAACATTAAAACTAAGAGCACTTGAATAGAATAGAATAGAATAGACTTGAATAGACTAGTGATTGACTGTCAACAGCGAATTACGAATCGTGTTCCTTATTTCTGTGAATGTCCGAGGCATATGACACATATGACATATGACACATATGACATATGCCATATGGCCATATGCCATACGCAAGACAAGTTGACGTTGACACATCTCATCTCATTATTTGTTTGGCAACACAGTGGCAAGTGACATATGAACATCTGGCATATGGCATACATATATGGTAGCCACAGCCCGACCCAAATGCCTCCGGGTAAGGCAAATAGATTGAAATAAATAGATAGTGTGGTATGGTATAGCAGCGCATCTAGCAGCATGGCATAGTAAGTACTAAATTGACACATGTCTGACATTGGGACATTGGGGCCAACAAAAAATGCTTTTTTGAATGAGTGACCGGCGGTTTTCGGGGTTGGCGTCCATGTGGTTTGGGGCTTCCGGCTTCTGCAGAACAAGTTAGTTGTAGTCCCGGTCAGGGCCACCCATGGAGTTCCAATGTGACATGGTGCTTCTGCTACGCTGCTAATGCTGCTAATGCTAACTGATGGCGGCTAACGGCTTGCACACTCATGTTCTCTCCTTTTTGGGGGTTGGTTTTGCTTCCAATCCAAGGTGAAGGAGAAGATCTTACCAAAGCTAGAAGGAGCACGAGAGCATGACCTTTTGGTCCAGCGGTACGCTGAATGTGAAGCTGCGGACAAGTTGGTGAGCGGCAACATCATGACCATGGGAAGCAGGGACCTCACCAACCTGCTGACTGTCCTGGATGGCACCAACATCACGTTTCCCTTTCCCGTTCGTTGCAAGTTGGTAGAGCGCCACGCCACAGACGTTTGCAAGGACATCTTTGAATCCACAGAAGACCCGGTCAGCTTGTGCTCAAGATTTTGTGAGCTGCTTTTGCCTCAGCGGGGCATCCCGGCATCCTTTGATTGTTTCTGCCCGACACTAGCAGGTCTTCTGGTTCAAGAACTCGAACAAGTAGATGAAGCAGAGAACCTGGCTCACTTCACGGACGGCGACAATGTGAGCGCTGAGAAATACGTGCTTGACGCAGAGGACAGGTATCCGATGTATCCGAAGCATTTTTTGGGTTTATGATTTGTCAAACACAGCAAAACCCGGCCAGTATCAATAACTGTGGGTAGGCTGTGGGCCTGTAGGCCCTACTGTAGGCCTACTGTAGGGGCAATTTAGCGTAGCAGATTCTTACATCATGTTGTTCTGTATGCTGTTATAAGGCCACTGATAGATAGCCAGTAAAAACCATTTATTTGCAGAGACCATGAGCACCGCCATGGCCTTGAAGCAAAAAGAGGTAGATAGATATAGATTCAATGATCAGATTCGATTAGAACATTAGATTAGATTAGATGAACTTTGAAAACACAATATGACATGATGATATGGCGAATGGTGACCAGTGACTAACTAGTAACTAGTAACTAGTGAAGTGTCTTTCTTTGTGTTTCCGCGTCCATTCTTGCAGAAGTCAATTAGCCAGCTAACTGTCAACCGCTGGGTCCTACGTAATCTGTCATTGGCCATGGCCCCATGTATGTTTTATATAACTGTCGCTGGGTTGCGTCGCTCCAGGCTCTTGGCACTCTCTTGGCGGATGCTTTCAGCAACGACTACACGATACAGATTCTCAAAGGCGGCCAGGCCAAGAAGAATGCCCTGCTGGCGATCATGCAGGCAATGCTTGATAAGAAAGACTCGTTTGGGCTTCCATCCTCTTTTCCTCCTGAGAGCATGCCTGACTCGGTCAAGGGTGCGGTTGATGCCATCATGGAAGCATGCACTGTGATTTTGCACATTGTGGAGCCAACCTTCCCAGTGTCCATCGAAGCATTCAATTCGCTGATGACAAGGAAAGGCAAGAACCTGCTGAAAAACAACTTGAAGATTGCTGTGGAAACCGGATTCAGGAAGGAGGTTGATGACGTGCTTCGCACAGCAGCCAAATCTCAGATCTACTTCCCGGAAGTGGAAAAGTACACCACATCACTCAAAGACGCCGCAGCGCAGGATTTTGCCTTTGCCTTGCTCGTCGAAGTCTTGAACAAGTACCCGGAATACCAGTCGCAACTGCGACCAGGTGCCACTCATCACCTTGGCCAGCAACTGCTTCTGCGTTTGATGAAAGCCTCCAAGAGCATGCTGGGTCAAGACATGTCTTCCACAGAGCCTTTGCCCTTCGAGGTGTCGGATGTCGACGCTGTGATGGCGGGCCTCAAGCAGTTCTCTGGAAGTCCAGAGGCAAATGAGCGACTGGCTGAATTGAAGAGATGGAAAGCGACAATGTCCCAGTATCTTGGCCGGCAGCAGCTACTTCAGCTTTGCACGGCAATGGAGATCGATAGATCCAGCGTCAAAATCAAGCAGCTGCAGTCATGCTTGGAATCAGCCCAGCTGTCCGCAAGCACCCCTCCTACAGGCCCATTGGGGAGAAGATGCTTAAGGCGTTGCCTGCAGTCCTTGGTTGGTTGATGGAGCAGGTGCTTTGGCAGACTAGTCAGAGTGTGATTTTGCCTAGGTCTAGGTGAGTTAGGTGGCTGTTCAACCTAGGGGACTACAAAAGTGAGCAGTAGCACTGTAGCAAGTCTAGTGACTCTAGTGATCAAGTGAATCTACTGTATCTTGTGGCTTGTGTGTTGTGGAATTCCTCTCTGTTGAAGTTGTTCTTATAGCTACTTTTAGAGATTGAACGTCGTGATTGAATTTTTGGATGTCCAGTCCATTTCAGGTTGCCGGCGATATGGCAAACCTTGGAGAAAGGTTGCCGGCTCTGCTTGACGATGTGGAGGTTGTGGACAAATTCGCGGTGGCCACTCATCATGGAATGCAGACTTGGCTGAATCTTCAGATTCATGTGGTGCAAACCGGATTGTCTTTGAGGACTGCCCAGATCCAGTGGGAGAATTTGGCGCGTGAAGTGAAGGACCGTGTGGAGAAGGACAAGAAGCATGAGAAGTTGATTGCAGTACTGACAGCCTGTCGAAAATTCGAGACAAGTGTGAGGGCAGCAGGCCAGTATGCCTTTCACACTTTGGCTGCTGAGTGCTCAAAGCTTGGTCTGGCAGAGGATGATGCTATTGCTTCCATGAATTTCCACACAACCTTTACTGCATCGCTAGATGAATTCTATGACGGCATTCGGTTGACGGCCACTGGCTACATGGAGAAAATCAAGTCCATGAAGGAGGACATGATTGGCAAAACCGGCGAGCTAGCTAACCCGGAGTCACCAGAGTATTGGAGGCACGGCCTTGCTTCTGATTGCAGCTTGGCGGACCTCAAGGCTGCCAGCCGCTCGAAGCTCAAGAAGCTGCCCGGCGGATCTATCAAGAGTCTCTACGACAAGCAAGTGAAGGACAGACTATTTATTGTAGGGTCAGGTATTGATTTTAAGAAACACACAATTTAAGTTTAGTTTTTTTCGGGATGGGTATCGGATAGGGTGGATAGGTCATAGGTTCACAGTCATTTCTTTATGTAGATGTAGTCAGGAATAGAATTGAACAGTATTGAATAGAATATAGAATATTCCAATTGGACACACGCCTATCTAGGACCTAGTAACTACTAGGATCTAGGACCAGTGACTAGGACCAGTCTTGGACGGATTCTGTCATAGGAGCTTCCCTCCATTGAGACGTTCGTGCAAGTCTTTGCGAGGGACATGGCGGGTCATGCCAGTGAGTTGACGGAATTGTCCAACTTACTGACGCAATACCAAGTGACATTGAAACAGGCACGTGCGACAGTCTCTGAAGGCATTCTCATGCTTGCACTCAGCACGAATCAGGTCAGCAAAGCACAGGCTTTGGCCAGGGATGAACTTGGCGAGATTTCTGGAGGAAGTGTAGATGAGTCTCGCGTGCACAGCGTCCTTATGGTTGAGGCCCAAAAGCTTCTTTCTTGAGCTATTTTCAACTAGCAGCCTAGCAGGCTGCCCTGCTAGATTGGTACAGTTTGAGCCTTTTTCTCAGGTGGCTGACTTTGGCCTAGCGTGATGGCCATGGGTGCACCAAATGAAACAAACCTAGGACGTAGGACCTAGGACCTATCTTGTTGTTCAAACAACTTGTATTGTTGTATTGTCAGGTTGTTCCAGCCTCAATTGTTGAGCAATGTTGAGTAGTATGCACTTTCGTCTCCTCTTGAGATGTTTTGCTGGCTCCTTGTGAATAGCCACTGGCTAGACTTACAGAGATCCACGTCTGCAGGAAAAACAATGCTGGCGTCTGATTTCTTTTCTTCTGTGTCCTTCTCTGGACTACCAGTGACTACCAGACTTGTTTTCTGGCTGGCTTTTTTTTACCTTTTTGGAAGGTTTTGAGAATGTTTTTTTTAAGCTCTTTTTTGGCTTTTTATTATTTAAGCACTCGAAGGAAAATACTTGACAAGGAAAATCACAAAATTAGAAGTGATTTGGATAACCAGTGGTTTGATTCCGTCCTACTAGTGATTTTGGCAGGAACCCCAAGTTGACCCACGTGTTTCAGCCGGTTGGTGGTTGTACACATGGCAGGTTTGGGAGAAGGCGCGTTTGCTGGCGCAGCAGATGGCCCCTGACATGGTCAGGTTGGTGGAAGAGAGGTGGGGCGTGTTCGTGGCGGGGACGCCAATGGCATCGGCTGGGTATGGGGACTTCTTGATGCCCACCTTGCACATTGCTCCGTGATGCCTACCCCAAGGGGGCCCCAGGCCACCCCAGGCCCTGCCTTCAAGCTGAAGTCACAATGGTTTGAGTGCAATCAGATTAGCTGACGGGTGTTGACAGTCCATCCCCCTTGGCCAGGTACAAGTCGGAGCTTGTCAACAAAGGTCTCCTTCTTAACATTCTGGGAGTGCTTTTTGTGATCTGGCTGTTTTGTGTTGAACACCAATTTCTTCGATAGATCTTGGCCGTGGGATGTTTTGGGTATCAAGAGGCTCAAACTGAAAACGACCGCGACATGTGGAGTGGCACCTCGCCAAACCGCTGCTTCTTTCGCAGCGTTCGGTGCGCTGCATGGAGCGGTTTCCGCTCACGCTCGAGTTTCGCTCAATTTCCGCACTCCAAGGAGATGGAGACCATGTCATACGCATGACTGGAGATGTGGATACCGCGTAGGGCGACCTAATTGGAATATTCTGCGAAGACGGCCATTCTGAGAAGACGGCAGTTTGGAACTTCCCTAGGATAACGGATCGTTTTCCAAGTGTTTGCCAGTTGATCTTACTTTATGAAACACGTCGTTGCATCAATCACTTTACCATACCTTTACCACTGGTTTTCATTCTTGATATTTGTTTCTATTCAGAGCTCCTTCGTTCCCACCTAATGTAGTCCCTTGATTAATCAACCCCCCCCGCCCCCCCCTCAACAACCAGGGCCTCCAATATAATGTATAAGAAAACTAATCAAAGGACCAAAATGAAAAGAATCATTATTAAAATCTTCTTGGTCTTCTCTGGCAATATTAAAAATAACAGGTAATCAATGAAATCTCAATTTGAAGACATTTGGAATACTAAAGTACAAGGAAATCAATAAAGTGGAAATGGAATTCTCAATCTCAATGAAAATCTTCAACTTTTCAAGAGCTTAGGTAAGTAAAGCAAAGCAACAGGAAAAGAAAGGGAATGAATACAAGTTTACTCAAAGCAACATGTTTTTAAGCTTGAAATCTCTAGACATTATTCTAGGGCCCCCCCTAAATAATGTCAGAAAGCTGCTTGCTGGACTACCCCCTTTGCTTGAATGTTTTTTTTTGTTCTTCAATATTTTTGAATAAGGGATTTTGTAAAGAAAGTGTGCACTGACTTTTGGAAACTTTTGGACAGCTTAAAGACTAAAGAGCTTAGGTACGTAAAGCAAATCAAAAGGAAAAGAAAGGGAATGAATACAAGTTTACTCAAAGCAACATATTTTTAAGCTTGAAATCTCTAGACATTATTCTAGGGCCCCCCCTAAATAATGTCAGAAAGCTGCTTGCTGGACTACCCCCTTTGCTTGAATGATTTTTTTGTTTTTCAATATTTTTGAATAAGGGATTTTGTAAAAAAGTGTGCACTGACTTTTGGAAACTTTTGGAAAGCTTAAAGACTAAAGAGCTTTGGTAAGTAGAGCAAATCAAAAGGAAAAGAAAGGGAATGAATACAAGTTTACTTAACGCAAAATATGTGTTAAGCTTGAACCCCCAGCAAACTCAAAAGGGAAAAAGTAAACTATAACAAAAAAACATATTCCACTACAACTAGCCCTGCCAAAAAAAAGACATTATTCTGGGGGCCTTTATTAATCAGTGCAGGAGAAAAACATACATTATTCTAGGGGGGTTTATTAATCACAGGTCTACATTAGCATTCTAAAATCTAGACCTTTGGACTGACAAAAGTAGGATATCCTTCCAAAGGATCTCGATCCTTTCCAGCGATTCATTGAGATCCGGAGAAAGAAAACCCATCATGTGGAGGAAACCCATCAGCCCAGGCTGGACATGTATGCTCGGAATGGCGAATGGACAAAGTGCCTGACGCTCGCCGAGAAGCAGAGCCCAAAGATCCTGCCGCACTACTTGGTGCCGCACTTGTTCGTTCGTTCATTGGAACATGTTCGTTCATTCGGAACCATGTCTGACCTCGTCAATGCCGACCAAACAGACTTGCCAGGTGCAATACTGCAAGATTCTTGCGAACAAAGGCGACAATTTGGAGGTCTGGATGTGAGACACACAAAACAACCTCCCACATTCACATTTAGTAAAAGCACTTCTTTGCTTTGCCAACGTTATTTATCGTTACGTGTTGTTTTGACATGGAAAGTGATAGGGAACGCCCCAAACGACACACCAGAACGATGCCCTGTAGACTATGCTGCCGATTGGAAAACTACAGGAGACCAGTTGGGAAATGGTTACACTCTAGAAGCTCTCGAACCGGCTCATGTGTATTTTCTTCCAACCTTTGATCAAAGTCTGAAGAAGAAGGCTTGCCTCCATCACACACTTGGCCATACAACCCTGATGTGCAGTGGACAACAGGCAGGTTTCCTGCCCCTGGGCCCCTTGGGAGGCCTGTCAGATGCTGGTTCGCTATGGGCCGCCCACAGATCCTGGGCAATCCAATTCCAATTTCCAGCTCTACAAGGCCGGGTTGCCACACTTGCTGAAGAGATTTAGGAGGATTGTGAGGGGAACAGCTGGGAGTTGAGCAGTTGACAGGAGAATCGGATGTGATGATAGTGCAATACCCGGAGAAAACCATGCGAATTGCTGCTGACTTGCTGTTGTCAAGAATCACTTGTCCCGCAGGTCATCCATGGCGATCTGTTGTCGGATCCCTGGCCGTGTGCATGTCGCAAGTCCGCGGGTTTGGCAGCAGATTCATGAGATCTTTGGACCATTTTGGACCCGGGCTTTGCTCCTGGCAATTCTTGACTTGAGCTTAGCAAATGAATCCTTCTTGAGGGTCCCGGGACACTCAAAAACGATTCCAATCCAATGGCTAGTATGGTTGTTCCATATCTAGGTCGCAGAGCTTGGTTTGAAACTCTAGCTGATACATTCTGCACATTCTGCTTCTGCAAAAACATGAACAGGGTCAAAGTTCTTGACTTCAAGTTTGAGGTTGGGCATCCAGAGCTCAGCCCGCACTTTCACTGATCCAAACACCAAGCGCAGATTCACCAAGCTTCCAATCACTCAGGGCTGGAGATCAGCCGGCTGGACCGCCCTTAGTACGGGAGATGCTCCTGCGCGTCATGACGCCCGCGGGCACATTGGGAGGTGGGTCTCCCGGGAGCACCAGGGTGTCCAAGGGAGGTGTCATGACCTGAGCAGGTTGGCTTGTCAAGAAGGCAAATATTATCGAAGCATAACTAGGAGCAAGAAGCTACTAGGGGCTCCTGGCATCGCTACTAGGAG